TTTTATTAAAATATGATTGACAGAATACAGACAATTCTCCCGCACCACGTAACAGTGAACACTAATAACCATGAAACAGAATCTATACTAGGCTGTTTTGAAATCTCCTCTGCCAATACCATTAAATCAGAATTCTTCAATTTATCCTCAGGCAAACTCTTGGACAAGGGCATAAAGCAGTCAAAGTCTTTGCCAAAAGTATCACAAAACAGTCTCTAGGCCACTTGCTACTATTTCTCTCCTCTGAAACCTCTTGAGCCAGGCTGTCATAATCTACATTGTTCTCAGCACTAATATCTTCCACGTTCCTACTGGTATTTCCCATTAAGCCCATTTTAAAGCATTCAACTGCTTTACTAATCTAAAGCTCCAAAGCCCATACATTCCACCAACAATATGATCAGGCCTGTCACAGTAATACCTCAGTTCCTGGTATCAACTTCTGTCTTAATCTGTGTTCTATTGCTGTGAAGAGACAGCATGACCACAGCACCTCTTATAAATGAAAGCATTTATAAGGCTGACTCACAGTTTCAAAGGTTTAGTCCCTTATCAGCATGGCGGGAACCATGGGAACACACAGGACACATGGTGCTGGAGAAGGAGATGAGTGTTCTACACCTGGATCCACATGCAGCAGGAAGAAAAAGACACTGGGACTGGCTTGGGCATCTGAAACTTCAAACCACCACAGTGGTCTTCTTGTCTCAGTTAAAATTTATAAAATGAACCCACCATAGTATATCCAGTTATCCATTGCTATTATATCAAGGGCCTGTGGTTTCATTTTCCAAGAATCTTTTTTCATAAACATAAAAAGGAAACAAGATATGACATAAGCCTTCTGGATGGTGGATCTGAAACATTGTCCTTTGTTTTCTGCTTAGAGTTTTGGACATTATACTATTACTGTGGTAAAAGTTCACCCTTAGTTTTGTTAATTTTTATTATTTAAAATTTATTTATTATTTTGTGTGTATGGGGGTTTGGTCTGAGTATATCTTTCCACCATATTCATGCCTTGTGCCCATGCAGGGTAGAAAAGGGTGTTGGAGTTATGGACGGTTGTGAGCTGCCCAGTCCTCTGGAAGAAACAACCAGTGTTCTTAACCACTGATGCATCTTTTTAACCTCAACTTTATTTTATCTAGAGGCTAAGGAACCAACAGGATTGTGTGTGTCCCATAGATGCTTTCCAGTCACAATGGGGAAACACTGAGAGCAGGGCAAAGAAAAGGGATTCCGTACCAAGCAAGCTACTTTTAGGATCTCACTATTTAAAAAAAATTTGGATTTTCTTCAGAAAGCTTTTGTTCCACATAAAATCTTTTTGAACCATAGTTCCTGGTCTCACCTCTTAACCAAAGTATCGAATAATAAACCATATTTTGCTACTTTTCTCTTAGTCAATCCTAAATTCACTGCTGCCCCGGGCTTCAACATCCAAAGAAGTTGATGCTAGTCTGCTGTCAGTGATCTCTTTCCCAGCCTTTGCTGTAGAGGACAGCCATTTGGTAGAGCTCACCAAACAGGAAATCATCACCAAGCTCCAGGTATGTGCACAAGTGCCTTTTTTTCTCTAGAGCTGGGAGTTTAAAGGAAGATTAGTGGTTTTAGGCCTTTGAGTATAACATATGCCAGGAATTTCAAAGAAACCTTTAAGTTACACTCTTGTTAGTAGTTTCTCTACAAAGCTTTCAAAAGCAGTCATTACTGTTGGAAATGGGACATACACTTTGGAGAAGAGCTGGCATACTCTTATGAACTTTAATATATATGCACATATATAACGTGGGATTCCACAAACATCCTTACTCCTCAGTATCTCCCCTACAATTGATAGTGTACACTCACACAAAAACTCACAAATGTCTGTAGCAGCTTCAGCCATAATTGCAAGAACCTGGAAACCACCTTCAACTGAGAAACAAATTATACTATATCCCTATTGAATACTACCCAACAGTGAGAAGAACAAATTAATAATCTCTGAGATAGTATGATTCTTTTTTTCTGTATTCTTTCACACTAAATCCTGACCACAGTCTCCCCTGTCTACCTCCTCCACCTTCCCTCTCCCCAGACCCATTACCCCTCTGTTTCCCTTCAGGAAAGAGAAAGCTCCCCAGTGATAACTGAACACTGCATAACAAGATGCAATAAGACTAGGCATAAACCCTCATATCAAAGCTGGACAAGGCAATCCAGCAGGAAGAAAGGGATCTGATTCTTAAGCTCATTTTGCTAAGAGGAAAGAACAGATCACAGAGGCCATGCATACTGTTTGATTCCATTAATGTGACACTTTGAAAGGGGAAAACCCAAAGAGAGGAAAACAATTGGTAATTGAGAGAAATTGGAGGGAGAAATTATCTATAAAGACATACTTATAGAGAAATTTCAGCATGATGGGACAACTGTCATGGTATGTCAAGGACCAGTCTCGACTGAATTCACATGTTCTATGGTAGGAGTGTGAGGATTAATTAGAATTATTAAGCAAAAAGTAACAGAGATAAGAGAGAAATATGAGATGAAACACCGAACACCATGGGGAGGGAAATTCAGTGAATACTGAACTACCCCTTTATTTTCCACATATCTTTTTATACCCCACTCCAAAAGGGGATGGGGAAGCAACAGACTTGATTAACATGATAAAAGGAATAAACAGAGCATCTCTGACCTTTGGTCAAGATGGAGCTGATACACCTCTGTTAACCACTCTAGGTCAGGACTTCCTGTTTTGTAGCCACTTATTGTCAACAACTTTGAAAGAACAAAACAAGCTCCAACTCTCTGACTCTAGTCAAGGTGAAATAGTCTCAAATCTGTGAACCCTGACAGTGGTAGATAATGATTATGTTTGCCTAATGTCACGAAATTGTGTACCACAAAAGTACACAACCATGATGTGGTGAGAAAAGTGTAATTCAGACTAGAAGGTGACTCTTAAATGCATTACAAATGAATTGGATAACCATACTGAAGAGGGTAAACAAAATTATCTAAATCTAGTAAAACTGTTTTTTTTTATTGTTGAGTGGATACTGTAAATCCAAGACAAAACTAACCATATATAAACACTGTATCCTAGTTTTTGCATCAGAAAACTACACCCTGTGGACTGGCCAGTTGTCCTTGTAAATAAAGTTTTATTAATCCTGCCATGTTTCTATCCCATATACTGCTCCTTTCAAATAGCAGGGCTCAGTAATTTTAATAAAGGCTACATGGCCTGAAAAGCCAGAAGTATTCATTCTCTGTCCCTTTAATGTAAAGTTGGCAAACTCCTGCTCTAGTTGATAAAATTGTTTCTCAAAGGCATTGAGCAAAAAAGTATGTATGTTTTTTCACTGTTAAAGAAAGATACTGCAAATAGGGCATGAGGAAAGCTAAAATGAACTCTCATGCTGGATGAAATTAGAAACTATTGTGAAAATTGTGTGTGTGTGTAGGTGTGTAGGCATGTATGTGTGTGTGTGTGTGTGTGTGTGTGTGTGTGTGAGAGAGAGAGAGAGAGAGAGAGAGAGAGAGAGAGAGAGAGAGAGAGAAGAGAGAAAGAGTCGGAGGGAGACAGAAACAGACAGACAGAAACAGAGGAATGCATGCCTATCTATGTGTTGAGGTTGTCCAGATCTTTTTAAAACCATTACCCCCAAAAGTGGATCAGGAATCCTTGATAAGTGGTTGATCTGAGAATCACATTAGGGAAGATACAAAAGATCTGAAGCATCTTAAGGCTTCAGAAAGTAAAGAGCTCAAAAAGGGTTGGGAATGACTGGTCGTCGTGGTATGCACCTTTAATCCCAGTTCCTGGGAGGCAGAGGCTGGTAATCCTCTGTGAGTTCAGTACCAGCCTGGTCTACATACTGAGTTCCTGGACAACCAAGGTTTACATAGAGAGACTCTGTCTCAGACCCCCCACCCCAAAGAAGATGGTTAATGTCAAATTTCTTCTTGCAGTAGATGGTAACTAACACAGAGACCCACAAGTGGACAAGGTGCAGAGAGTAAGAAGCCTTTGGAACACTCAGCCCTAAATGGGTTGTCTTCATCCAAAGCCCCGGTCTCAAGGCTTAGGAATCTATGTGGGAGAGGAGTCAGAAAGAGTTTAGGAGCCAGAGCTGGTGAATGAATCAAAGGAAACAAACAGTGCCATCCAGACATGATAGGACTGACACCATGTTAACTCAGAGACTGTGACAGTACTCACAAGTCCTACTCGGGTTCAAACCAGACAAAATCCTAGTATAGAGAAGGGAAAATGAACACAAAATACCATCCTTAACCAAGAAGTTATTTGCAATTGCTGCCTGCCAAGAAGGGAAAATCAGTTTTCTCCAATGAAGTGTCAGTGAGTGTTACCAATCACACTCCAGGGTAGATTTCATGTCCAAGACAACACAGAATGGATGCTATGCTCTTTATTTTGGTACTTTGTTTATTTGTTTGTTTGTTTTTTGTTTTTCGAGACAGGGTTTCTCTGTAACTTTGGAGCCTGTCCTGGAACTCGCTCTTATAGAGCAGGCTGGCCTAGAACTCACAGAGATCCACCTGCCTCTGCCTCCCGAGTGCTGGGATTAAAGGTGTGCATCACCACCACCTGGCCTATTTTGGTACGTTTAATCTTCTTGCTTTTCTTTAGTTTGTTTTAATTTTCTTTTTGTTTGTTTTTCTTTCTTAGAGAAACAGAGAACATGAATTTGGGTGGGTAGTGAGGAGATGGGAAGGATCTGGGAGGAGTTGGGGGACAAGAAAGAAAATGATCCAAATACTGAGTATTAGGTCCTTATGGTTGCACAGGAAATCCTTTACCCACTAAGCCATCACCAGAGTCCTGTGGTGTGGGATTTTGAACTGGATCCTGGGATAGAATAAAAAAGGACAGTGATTGAAAACTCAGTGAAATCTAAATAGGTTTTATAATTCAATTAATATTAGCATATCAAAGTTAATTTTTAGTTCTAATGTATGTTCCTGAGTTACATTAGTTAATATAAGGAGATGATATTTGATGGACAGAGTGACAGTATGTTGTGTTTGTAACTTTTATAAGTCTAAAATAATTTCAAAAAATTAAAAATATATTTAAAAAATAAACTGTGGTCTCTTGGGAGCTGTGTATACTGTGGGAAGAACTTCACAGATTGATAATAAGCTTGTAGGCTTGGCCTAAGGTGGACAGTCATGGAGAAGACACTGCTAGGCATGCTGTTTGGGGGAAGAACCTGTAACATACTTCTTGCTTGAAAGAACATTGCTGCTGCTGCTGTTGCTGCTGCTGAGCTGATTTTGAGTTCTGTGTCTGTGGTGGTGAGAGATTGGTACATGGAGATGTTTGAGGATGTGCTTCTGCTTGTGGAGTCATGCAGATGTACAAGCTTCAGGGTCTTTTTCTCTGTCCCCAGGGTCGTTATGGCTGCTGTCGTTTTCTACGAGATGGATATAAAACTCCTAAAGAGGTAGGTTTCTGAGGCTGGAGAGGTGGCTCAGCGGTTAAGAGCACTGACTGCTCTTAGAGAGGTCAAGAGTTCACTTCCCAATACAACCATCTATAATGAGATCTGGTGCCCTCTTCTGGCGTGCAGGTGCACATGCAGGAAGAACTCACAAGTCCTTAAAAAAAAAAAGGTAGGTTTCCTTTCACCACAGGGAAATTGGGCAGAATTGTCCCTTTCCTTTGTAGTCTCAGTCAGAGATAAGTTACCTCACTGATAGAATTTTTTCAGATCATTAAAATGAATAATAAATGATGTTTGCTGTATTTATTGGTCTTTGCTGCCAAGTTTTGACATTGATAGTAAGAAAATTAATAATATGTCCAAAAGTAAATATAATAAAATAAAGGCAGTTTTTCCTTTCTTTCAGTTGATTAGTTTAAGGAAAGGTCTACTGATAGATGCTAAAATCTATGAACAGTTTTAAATACAAATAGTATTTACATAATATCCAAATGTGCCCCCCCAAAAAAATATTTAAGCAATCCAAAGGAAAGGCACTTTCCATCAGTACATCTTTCTGCCTGCCTGTCGTAGATCATTTTCTGTTGTCAGGGACTCCGTACTGCAGACTGAGTTGTGAAATGGGTGCACTTGGGCTCACAGTTCCATAGGCTCACAATCAAGAGTCCCAAGGTGTGATCCAAGGAGTACTGGTGTGTCCCAATCTCCTCTGGTTTCTTTCCTTTTGACAAAGCCAGAGATTCAGTCTCCACCCTAATGGCCTTATTAAATCCTGATCTTTCCTTCAGGCTCCACCCCGAAGTTCTGTAGTTTATTCCATTTCTCCCCCTACTACTTCACAATATGGATGAAATTTCAGCACATCAAGCCTTAAGGACACCAAACCTAAACTGTTCCAAGATTAGTAGTTTGTATTTGGTTAGTTATAAGCAGAACTTGTTTGTGAAAATATAAGTTCCTTTTGTTCTACCAGTCAAAAGTTCTCCTTGAAAAAAAAATATGGCTTGGGCGAACTTTTCAAGAACTATTATGACTGCTTGTGTAGCATGTTCAATGCCCTGCGTTCCAGTCCCAGCACCACACAGAAGAGAGGAACTATGTTCTTTTTAAATTAAGTGTAAAATCTTGTCTCCTTCATCACTTCAACTTTCTTCTTCAGGCCTGAGTTTGACTTTGGCCCCTTTCTTCAAGTTTTCCCTATTTGGATTTCCACAGTACTGCACTCTCGTGGTTCTTGGCTCTCTGTCTTTGGCTGCCCTCGTTCTGAAGACTTGCCAGGATTCCCTTCTTGTACAGGCCATTCATTCTGTATAGCACTTTCCCACAAAGGCCATCTGTGCCTAGTGCTGTCTCTCTCGGGTTGATTACAAAGCAGTTCTACACTGGTGGTTAATATTGTCAGCTTGACGGGATCAAGGAGACAAGTCTTTCGGTATGCCTGTGAGAGTATTATCAGGTTAATTAAAGTAGAAATTCACCCTAAAAGTGAGTGGCAGTATTTCCTGGGTTTGGGGCCTGGGCTGCATGAAAAGGAAAAGCTAGCTGCATTCCAGCATTTATTGTACTCTTCCTGACTGCAGAAGCAGTTGTGATCAGCTGCTTAAGCTTCTGCCATCTTCTCTGTCCTTCCATGATGAATTGTACCCTTGAACTGTGAGCCAAAGTAAACTCTTGCTTCACTTAAGTTGATTTTGTAGGATTAGTTTATCATGGGACAAGAAAAGTAACACACATTTTCGTATATCTCCTGTGATTCCTTATTATTTCAAGACTAGTCATTGAACGTTTTCATAGAGCACTTGCTAAGAGAGGGGAGTATGAGTTGTGCTTACTGCCTTCCCTGATGCCATCTTTGAAACAAATGGTCTAGTAAAACTCCTACTGTAATACCCCTAAACTAAGGATATACACCCAATCTCTGAGCAACAGGACAGACTTTATTCTATTTTTGTCTAGGATCCAAATCGTCTATACTATGAACCAGCTGAGCTGAAGTTATTTGAAAACATTGAGTGCGAATGGCCATTGTTCTGGACATACTTTATCCTTGATGGGGTCTTCAGTGGAAACGCAGAACAGGTAATGAGCTGGGGGAAGAGCTCTGAGCAAGCTGCTCTTGTTGTATCTTCTTTCAGTTTTAATGGCTCTATCTGTACTGACTGCCCAAATTGGAGTCTTCTGACTACCAAATAGACAGAGTTGTCTGTCTCCTAGAGACTCATAGCTGATAATAGTGAGTTAGGAATTGGGGAACACTGTGGTTGGGATGTAAAATAAAATTTTAAAAAGTAAATTTAAAAAAATTAAAGAAGAAAAGTTACTATATAAAAAAAGAATTGGGAAATTCTAACTGGGTGGTGATGCACGCCTTTAATCCCAGCACTCAGGAGGCAGAGGCAGGTGGATCTCTGTTGATTCTGAGGCCAGCTGGTCTACAGAGTGAGTTCCAGGACAGCCATTGCTGTTACACAGAGAAACCCTGTCTGGAAAAACCGAAAGCAAAACAAAACAACTACAAAAAAATTTTTGGGAAACTCAGATTGGTTTTTTTTTTTTTCATTCCTGACCATCCAAATGTTGTCAGTGACTTCTTTGGTTTCATTGTCTCTGTAGATAAGATTTTTTTCTTTCATTAAAGAAGATTGTCAAGTTAAGGATGTTAAAATATTAATTACTTCAGTTTCGTCATTACACACTATATACATGAGTTGAAGTATAACACTGTACCCCACAAATTTCTCTATTTCTAAAAAGGAATTTTTGCTGCAGTGACACATGTTTGTAATCCCAGGACTCAGGCTAGGGCAGGCAGATCAAGAGTTTGAGACCAGTCTACACTAAATAGCAGGACCATCTCAAATAGTATTTTTTAAAAAGGTATCCTTAGGTGATAGAGAGATGGTTCCATGGTTAACAGCACCTTTTGCTCATCCACAGGATGTGGGCTCAATTCCCAGCATGCACATGACAGCTCACAAGCATCTGTAACTCCAGTTCCAGCGGCTCCAAAGCCGCCTTCTAAGCTTATGGGTAACAGGTACCCGTGTTGTTCACATACATATATGCAGATGAAATACTCAGTACATAAAATAAAAAATAATCTTTTAAAAAATATTCCAAAATTTCTTTGAAAGTTCACAATAAAGATATGTTGTAAATTCAAAAGCCAGTCAGTTCCGTTATAATGAGATAGCATCGCTTTGAAAAAATTACCATGAAATGCATAGTCAAGAAATTTAAAAACTACAGAACAGAAAAATGGGGTGAGGATCACAGTACTAAAACTATGTATGGCTTAGTATAGTGGTACACACCTTTAATCCCAGAACCGCAGAGAAAGGCAGGAAGATTTCTGTGAGTTTGATGTAGCACAACTAATAAAAACCCAGAGACACATATTGTCTCTGAAGCTGAAGATCAGAAAAGCAAAGTGGCCAGCCACTGACTCTTACCTCTACCTCAGACTGAAATGGGTGATCCCGCCTCCACAGATCCTCAGACTGAGACTGTGTCTGAGAACTGTCTCCTCCCCCATTTTATATTCCTCTCTAGGGCTGGGATTATAGGTGTGCATGACCACTGTCCAGCCTCTGTGGATAACTAGTGTGACTTCTGCAATTAAAGGTGTGTGCCACAACCGTTTGGCCACTGTGGCTAACTAGTGTGACTGCTGGGATTGAAGGTGTGTGCCACCACTCCCTGGTCTGTATGGTTGACTACTATGGTTGCTTTGCACTCTGATCTTCAGGAAAGCTTTATTTATTAAAACACAAATAATATACCACTATAGTTTGAGTAACCTGCTCTACACAGTGAGTTCTAGGCCAGCCAAGACTATATAGTGAGACCGTGTCTCAATAGTAAGTAAATGTATGCTTGTACATAACAAAATGATAGGAAGCTAGTCGGAACAAAAACAGTGGCACAGTTTCCAACATGTTAAATGGTCAAATATATAAGTACTACAATGGGTCTGATAGTCAAACCTTGAAAAGAGCCTGAATTTTGCTTGTAGAAGTGTTTGACCTTCGTCGTGCCAGTTCACCTGGCTGGTACTTCTGCCCACTAGCCTGTATGTAAGAAGAAGAAAACAAAAGAGAAATAAAATAAACGATAGAAATCAGATGGGAAAAACAACAAAATACAGAGGAAACATTAGAATGGACTGAGAGGAATGGGGGCAGTTAAAGAAAGAGGAAGGCACCCATTTTGCAACCAGAGCAGCTGTTGGGTGCTCATAGCTTATAAGTTATGATGTGCTTAAAGAAAGGTCATATACACTATGGAACACTACAACAACAGATGTGTACTGATGTGGTTCCTTGGCCTTGTTTGGTAAGTGCATGTCTGTGTAACTTTCAGTAGCTTAGTTCAGCACAATTGTGTTCTCAGGAAGAAACTGCACATAAGCAAAAATGAAATTCGTGTTATACTCTGTAGAGTGCAAAAGAAGTCCTGCACACAGACAAGCATCGGAGAAGCCAAGAAAAGTTGAGCACACATCTAATCTCTCCAAAGTGGAAAGATATTTGGCTGTTCTCCCAGAATGCTGGGGGAAAATACAGTTTGCAGCCTGGTAATCATTTGCTATCTGTTGAGCCAGCCTCCATCCATATCACCCAGAATATTATGTTTATCCCGGACTCTTTCCCCTGACACCTTGAGCATTACTTCTAAATTATAAAACTCATCATTTGTACCTTATAACAGCCTAAATGACTTCTATGTTTTCTTAGGGCCAGGCATTGTATCTACCTCAGTCATTCTTAAGCCCTTATCTTGACCATTGTTTCTAAGTCAACAAGAAGTCATCTTACATGTGAAGCTGTATGTACTTTGTAAAAAACTTCAATGCAGACATGTCTTAAGCTTTGTTGTACTCATGGGGTTGAGTTAATTGTTATTTGAATACTTTTTTTCCTAAATTGTGTTGTGCTTAAATATAGCAAAAATAAATGAGCTGATGTCAGACTCTAGAAATTCTGGCCCAGCATGAGTTACCAAAATCCAGCTGATCCAAGTTTCAGTCTTATCTCACCCTGATCATTTTCCCCGACCTGCTGTAAACCTGCAGGAACCCTTCCACAATACTTAAATTGTACCCTAATCTATTAAAAACATTTGAAAACTTTGTGAATTTTATCAATATCCTAATTATACCACAAAGCAGCTGGGATGAAGCTATTGCGTTAAAGAACTATGTTTCCCCCCATAAATTATGGTTTTGTTGTGTTTTTTTTTTTACTTCTTATGAACCCGAGGCCTTGTATACACTAGGCCCACTGAGCTGCGTCCTGACTCTTTCCTTTTTTATAGTTTATGAATTACTGTGTTTCAGCAAATCGTTAAGTAAATAACATAAACCTGACTATAGTAACAGCCAAACCTAGAGAGGAGTGATGACAAGGGTAATTAATGGGAAGGTGTATACGAGCAAAGTACAATGATAGACATGTATGGAAAATGTCATAATAAAATCCATTATTTTATATACTAACTAAAAGCAGATAATAAAAATGTAGATTTAAAAGCCTATTCAAGGTGCTGGAGAGATTTATGAGTGATTAAAAACATTTGCTACTTTTGCAGAAGACCAAAGGTAGATCCCAGCATCTGTATCAGGCACATGCACGCACACACACACACACACACACACACACACACACACACACACACACACAGATGTATACACACATAAATAAAAATAAACTTAAATAAAATAAAAGCCAAGTCAAGGACTAGAGAGATGGCTCAATGATTAAGAGCACATAATGTTCTTCCAGAAGACCCAAGTTTGATTCTTTACATCCTTGTCATGTGGCTCACAAACTCTTAGAGAGTTACAACTCCAGCTTCAGGAGATCTGACACATCTGACTTTCAAGGGTACCAGCACACACGATCATATACCCCCACACTGACACATATGCATACATATACTTTATAAAAATAAAACTTTTTTGTCAGTCATAGTGGCACACACCTTCAATCCCAACACTTGGGAGGCAGAAGCAGATGGATCTCTGTGAGTTTAAGCCCAGCCTAGTTAACATAGTGAGTTCCAGGGCAGCAGGAGCTACATAGTGAGACCCTGTTTTCAAACAAACAAAACAACAAAAAAAAATCATTTTTAAAATATATTTCAATTGAAATAGAATTGCATCATTTCCCCCTTCCTTTCCTCTCTCCAGACCCTCCCAGCTTTCTTCTCTCAACTTCAACCCCCACACACTCTTAAGTTGATAGCCTCTTAAAACATAAACGCTAAACAAGAAAGAGCTGGCTCAGGAAGGTACACTTAAGGTAATAGATAGCAGATCACTTAGGCCCTCGAAGACAGACTAGTCAGAGTAAACTACACTAAGTCAGGTATTTGCTTAATAAACTACAAGTTCAGAACCTCTTAGAAGTTAATCCCCATGTTAAAGGACTTCAATTACACATACCTACTAGGATGAAACTAAAATTAAATGTGTTAAAGTATACAAAAAGTCATGTGAGATTTGACCTATAACAAACATGTAATAAACCTGATTTAGTTAGGGTTTCTACTGCTGTGACAAAACACCATGACCAAAAGGCAGTTTGGGGAGAAAAGGGTTTATTTGACTTATATATCCTGAATCACAATCCATTAAGGGAAGCTAAGGTGGCAGGAAGTCAAACAGGACAGGAACCAGGAGGCAGGAGCAGAGGCCATGGAGAGGAGCTGCTTACTGGCTTGCTCCCTGTGACTTGCTCAGAGCAGCCTGCTTTCTTATACAACCTGGGACCACCAGCCCATGGTTGGCTCCACCCACAATGGGCTGGGCTTTTTTAATCAATCACTAGTTAAGAAATTGGTCTGCAGACTTGAGTGCAGTCAGTTCTTATGGAGGCATTTTCTCAGTCGAGGCTCTGTCCTCTCAGATGATTATAGCTTGTGTCAAGTTGACACAGTATCATTGCCCCTTTCCTCCCCCTTTTACTTGGTTATAAGCTTATTCTGTGTCTTTCTGCTATGTTTCCACAGAAAGTCTCTAAAAGTTTTTTTCTTTTTTTCTGCAGGTCCAAGAATATAGAGAGGCTCTTGATGCAGTTCTCATCAAGGGCAAAAATGGAGTCCCGCTTCTTCCAGAGCTGTACAGTGTTCCCCCTGACAAGGCGAGTTGGATAGTGCTGGACCATTGACAGGAGAGGAACCGTATTTCTGGGATACTGAGTCAACCGTTGTTTGAGTCAAATAGTTTTGTGATTTTGTATCTGGTGATCTTAATATTCTAACAATTTGGTTTTCAGATTATGACAACAAATGTGCGATTTAATTCCTCCAGAAATAAATTAAAGCAGTCTCAATTTATTTGACTGTTGTACAGTCAAATATGAATGAAAGCAAATCTCAGTTCTGAGAATAATGTACAGATCAGTAGATGGAACCAGACTGATGTCCTGTGCCAGCTCTCAGGACTTGGTATCCTCTGAAGCCAGTAATCAGGGACTGCTGGAGTAGATCAGACTTGGAAAAACGAAGCAAGTATTGTTTTTGTTTACCATTGTGAAGGAGAATTAGACATGGTAGAGACACAGTTTTTCCTTCTGGTGGCGATTTGGAGAATAAGTTCCTAGTGGCATCAGCAGTGTCACCTGAGAATTAAGAATATGTATTAGCCACCCCCACACACCGATTCAGTCTGCATTTGCACAAGACCCTTGGGTGATTTGGTCACACATCACAGCTTGAGCACTGCCCTACTTAACTTTCCAATCCATTGCCTATAAACTGTGAATCCTAATCTAAACTGTCTTTTATCATCTAGTATCGTAAGCTTTCTCTTATTGCCTCTCATCTGACCTATTTATCGTTTCATTTAGGTTGATGAAGAATATCAAAATCCTCACACTGTGGATCGAGTCCCCATGGGAAAATTGCCTCACATGTGGGGTCAGTCTCTATACATTTTAGGAAGCTTGATGGCAGAGGTAAGACTTCAAAGCTATCCTACCTTTTATTTATTTATTTGCCTTAGTCACCATATGATCAGATTTGCAATGAACTCACTAAATTCAAACGATATCTTCTTCCTTTTGTAATTTGATGTAATTATAACTTTTCTTCCAAGTCTTCAGCATGGGGGTTATGGCCAGTGCTTGACAAAAATCTCTTGGTCCCTGGCAGCCATGTCTATCCTGTTGCCCACAGTTCCCTATTTTGGCATTGCACTTGGTGTTGTTCAGGAATAAAGTTGTGGATCTTTCCCTTTCAAAACTCCCCTTGGTGCCTTGCCTGGCAACTAATGAATGCAGTTATGCTTAATGATTATTGATAATGGATTAAATGCCAACCTTTGTAAGCAACGTAAGGTTTCATTCCTCAACTGAATTAGCTGATTACTTTGGGCACTTTGGCTAGTGCTTGATAATAACAGTGTGCTCTTTCTATTTTGTTAATATTTCTGTTTTTACTTTTTGGTAAGGAGCTCTCTAAATGTTCTTTATACCACATTCTGTTAAGATGGCTCTTAACAGAATTAATGAGGCACAATTTTGTATTCAGTTTCTTTGGGAGGCATTTGAGCCTACATAGAAAAAGTTTCTTCTAAAAAGTTTTCCAGTACTTCCTGAAAAACCTATTTCCCACATTATAGGTTATTAAAAAAAAAGACACAGTCTTGCTATGTAACAGTAGCTGGCATTGAACTTTCCCCATAGATCAAGCTGGTCTTGAACTTCCAGGGATCCTTCTGTGTTTGTTTCCCGAGTTCTGGGATTACAGGTGTGTGCTATCACACCTAGCATGGATGTTTTGATATTATAGACCCAGGTTTCTGGAAAACCTTGTTTGGAACTTACCTGGAATTTCTAAGATTTTCCCCTACTTATATGGCCGTTTATTTTCTGCAGCTATATTCTTGGTTTTGTTTTCTGTGGTCATGGCAATTTGATAATCTTTAATTGACATGAGCTTGGAGCTAGCACTAATGAGCATACTGCTTTAAAGCAATCGTCCTGGCAGCTTTCTCATCCAACAATAAATTAAATTGAGCAAAACCAGGAAGAATTCAGTATTATTAAAGAAAAATGGGTGAGTTCATCTTATTTCACAACATATGGGAACTAAATAAAAAGATTTCTGCTAGCCAAAAAGCACAGCAAATACAGGGACAAATAAGCAAACAATGTTTATTATAATTTTTAGTTTAATTTATTTTGAGAATTTCATGCATGAGTGTTCTATTTATATTATCTTCACCTATTGCTTCCTTCCACACACAGCCTGCCTGGTCCATTTAGTGTTGTTTGTATATGTATTTATTTAGGACTGACCACTTGGGCCTGTCAGGGTCTCATTCCTGGAGAAAACTGATTCTCCCTGTCTCAGCATCCATTAATTATCTGTAGCTCTTTGTTCAGGTCTTCTGAGATTTTTTTTCCCCATTGGTGTTGGTATGCCTACTGATAGTATCATTGCGCTGGTCTTGTTTAGGTGACCATGTTTAAAATTTCATGGGTGAAGCTTCCCTGCCACATACAGAAAGTACAATGAATCATAGCAGATGTTCTGGTTCTCTGGCTCTTAAAATCCTTCCGTTCGCTTTTCTGTTATGTTCCCTGAACCTTAGATGTCGGGGCATTGTAGATGTATTGATAGGGATTGGGTACCTCAAAGGCATTTGTTCTCTGCGTTTAAACCACGTGTGGTATTCTTTATCAATCTCTGCTACAAAAAGAACCTTCTTTGATGAGAGGTGATAGCTACATGTACCTGTGAGTATAAGGATGGACATTTAGAATTCAGTTAGGAATTACACTGCTTCAGAAAGTGGTAGTAGTAAGTTCTCCTCAAAGTTTCAAGACCTCAACAGCTAAAGGTAGTTGGTTAGGTTTCCAGTATCAGGCATGAGTTTCTTCATACTGAGTTGGCCTTCAGTCCAGTTAGACATCTGTCGTTTGCTTCCATGAGATAAGTACCACTATTGGACCCTGAGGTCATTGTGGTTCATAGGTTTCATAGCTGGTCAGAACTATTGATTGCTTTTCTCCCCTGGCAGCTTGCATAGCACTTTTGGTCATTTAGAGATCTAATCATCAGGTAGGAAGCTTTCAGGTCAGTTCCAGCTCAGTTCCTTCCTGATTGTATGGTGTCTTCAGCTATTGGGTCTTACCTTCAAGTTCTAAGAGGCAACCAAGGGAAATAGCAATAGCGTGTGTGTGTGTGTGTGTGTGTGTGTGTGTGTGTGTGTGTGTGTCTGTGTCTGTGTCTGTGTCTGTGTCTCTGTGTCTTTGTGTGTGTCTGTGTGTGTATACGTAAGCATGAAATGTTCCTGTGGCCTTTTCAAACATCCTTAATATTACTTGTCCCTTTACCTTTCGTCTCCCTTTGTACTGACCTCCTTTTCCCTTTCCATTTAACTTCTGAGCTATCTCTCCATTGCCCTAGCTTTATTTTTGAGGCTTATTAATTTTGTTTTTGTGCATTTTCTTCAGGGATTTTTAGCTCCTGGAGAAATTGATCCCTTGAATCGTAGGTTTTCTACTGTGCCAAAGCCAGATGTGGTGGTTCAAGGTATGTATTACTCCCAGCAATAGAAATGTTATATTAAAGGTCTGATTGGGGGAAAGATTTGGGGACTTTGTATTAGGATTCAAAAAGTACGTAATAAATTTGGTTCAGTTTGTTTTAAAATTACTGTTAATAATAAACAAATGAAAGATTACCTCAGAGGATTATAAAATACTATTTGATATGCTTTATTTCTGGGAACTCTTTAAAATTTCATGACATGTTATTCCCCTGGTTACTGTTACTTTCCTATGTTTTTCATGCTAGTATTCCTTTATTTTCATAACCTCTATACATTTATATTTTGTCTGTTTTAGACTGTTAGGCCTGCATCCCTCATAGTTCATTTGCTTCTGACCACTGCCTCACTGGGGAGTATGTCTACAATTTTTTAAATGTGAGGGTATATACATTATGCAAAACACTGAGCTGAATACTCTAAACATTAAGAAATCCAAGTCTTTGGGTGTGTGTGGTAGTACATGTGTTTAATCTCAGCACTTGGGAACCAAAGGCAGGCAAATCACTGTGAGTTCAATAGTAGCTTGTTCCATATCTAGAGTTCCAGGACAATCAAGGATACAGAGTCAGACTGTCTCAGGGTTTCTATTGCTGTGAAGAGACACCACAACCATAGCAATCCTGCTAAAGGAAAAACATTTAATTGGAACTAGCTTATACTTCAAAGGTTTCGTCCATTATCCTGGTGAGAAGCATGGCAGCACACAGGCAGACATAGTGCTGGAGAGGTAGCTGAGAGCTCTATATCGGAATCGGCAGGCAGCAAGAAAAGGGAGTGAGCCACTGACTCTGGCTTGGGTTTCTGAAATCTTAAAGCCTACCCCAAGTGACACACCTCCTCCAACAAGCAGTCCAACAAAGTCCACACATCCTAATCCTTTCAGATAATGCCTGTGAGCCTGTGGGGGCCGTTTTGATTCAAAACCACAGGGACCCTTTCTCAAAGGACAACTATCCTTGTCTAATATCTGTGAATAATCTTTATATGTTGGACACAAAGCTGGCCTCTTTTGTCATCCTCCCATCCTTTTACCTCTCCCAGAAAAGGTCAATATTTTTACCTTCCTTGTTTCTTTTGAAAATATTAACCATCGTCCTTGTTTATGAGAGTAGACATCTTGATGGGAATTTTCACTCTCCAACATCACTCCTCAATATGGTGTTGTCCTGATGTAAAGCTTCTTAAGATATTCCTAGTCTTTTGACTTTCAGGTTGATTCTGAATGGAAAATCAACATGTTTTCTAAAGCATCTTATACTTGACACTCTGTGGGATCATATAGGTAGTCTTTGCTTCTCGGTGTCTCTAGCAAATGTTTTATAAAGTGTAGCATGAATAATAAAAACCCAGAGACAGAAATTGGACTTTAACCATTATTCTTCATCCCCCATGAGAAGGTGTGTATTCCTTTGAGGTTTAAACCTTCTAACTGTGCTGATCTTCTCTTTGTTCTAATTCATAGTTTATGACTTTGAGGTTCAATTCACAGCCTTTTTTCTCTTCCCCAAATTCTGTCATAAAACTAGATTTCAGTATTGATATGGATTTAATCTACTATTTTTAACCTTAAAATTTTTGAATATCATGACTCTAGAACCCTTTCTCTGTACCTCTATGTTTGGTACCCCATTCTAGTTACTTTTCCTTTTGCTCTTATGACCAAACACCATGACCAAGGCAGCTTATAAAAGAAATCATTTAATTTGGGGCTTACACTTCCAGAAGGTTAGAGTTCATGAGCATCGCAGTAGGGAGCGTGACAACAGGCATGATGCTGGAGCAGTAGCTGAGAGATACATCCTTATCAACAGATAGATGGCAGAAAGAGAGAAGTAGCTGAGAATGACAGTGGACTTTTGCTACTTCCACTGACACACTTCCTTCAAAAAGGTCATACCTTTTAATCTGTTTCCATTATGTTTCCAAATGTTTCCACTAATGGAGACTAAGCATTTAAATAAGGCCTTTGGGGCCCTTCTCATTCAAACCACCATACCCACCAAGGGTCAAAATTTGGACCTTATAGATATCCTTGTGTTCTGCTAACAATGCTTTCTTTTCTATTTTAGAGTTTTAGATTCTGCTAATCTCAGCTTTCTTTTTCTTCCTTTTAAAGTTGTCTCTTTCTACCTAAGAAAGTCTGCTCTTTCTTCCTAAAGATCATCTAAATATTTTGATCATCTAACTATTCCAATTACTGCTGCCTCTTATTTCTGCTGCATCTACCAGAGTATTATAGTTCTAGATCAGTCATGTAATCTAAACTTTCTTATCCTATACCTACTAAAAGATATTATCGGGGGAAAGCACTTGGTGAGTGGAGTGGTGGCATTGAACAACCATGGTTCCCAACTCAACTTCTGGTTTGTTGCTCTTTGTTCTTATCTTTAGTCAGTATTTTCTTTATTCACAGCCAGTATAACAAAGTACTCTATTTTGTTCAGCTGTGCCCTGTTTTCAACCTAATATTTGAACTGATACTTCGTGCCTGATTATTCTAATATTCTGATGTTTTTTAATTTCCCAACACTTTCCACCCCCAGCATTCTTACCCATCCTTGCTTTCTTTTTTCTAGTCTCAGAAAAAGGTGCTCACCTATTCAAGACAAATTCCCCTGCTGGTGCTTCATCCTATATTCTTCTTTACAAACAATCTTATTTTGAAATATTAAGACTTCCCCCAATCCAGTTTCTTTATATACTATGTTAATCTCCATCTGGCTGTCATTTGTGGCTTCTTTTCATATTGATATTTCTGTCCCTTCATAGTCCATTAATTTTCCAGTCGTTTAGAGCCTGGTGTAATACGCTGAAAATTTCTTGCTTAGTTTCCAGAGACCTTGGTATTGTCAGTGTTAACAGATATTTTATGATCAGTATATTAGCAGATCTTTTAAATCAACTTGTCATTTATCTTTCTAGAAACTGAATTTCCACAGCGTCCATGTTATGCTTTTGTATTTCTCCTTCAACCTGTTTAAGTACTTTTCTACCTTATTGTGGACTTCCTTTTCTTCCTTTTTCCTTGAACTATTGGTATTGCTGGGAATTCTGTCCATAACCTACCACTTGTCTTGCTCCGAATAATTGGTCCTATTCTCCACCTTCTTCAGTCTTCCTTCACTTTCACATGCTGACCCTACTTCCTGTGCTAGAAAGAAAATATGAGCTATAAGACAAGAACTTATCCTTTCCCCAGACTTTGCTTTATCTAGTTAGTCCTGAATTTTCTCAGAGTTATATTCTGGGTTCTCTTCTCTTGATAATGTATTTTTGTCCCATCCAGTCTGTTTCTAATGTCTTCTGACAGTCCCACATGTTTCCATGCACTGTAGACTAAACATAACAAAAGTTGATCAGCTGGATCCTCCTACTGTGTCATCTATGCCTAGGATTCCTTCTGCACCTCTATGACTAAATGGCACATGATACCCCCAGCTACACAAATGAATACTTTCAGTTCATATTTATTCTTCTCTGATTTCCTGTACTTATATAACAAGTTCTAGATTATAACAAGATTTTTTATTTCTTCAGTCATTCTGAAATTCATTCTGTTTTTGACAATTCCAGTAGCTTACTATTAATGTAAGTTATCAGCATAACCTCCTTACATTACATTAATTTTGAACTGATGTTTACCTTCTGTCAAGGCCCCGTAATGTCTGTCAGTTCATTCTTTTGATTTTTTTCAAAAATTACTGTAGACCACACAAACAAATGTCCATTCATTCTTTAATTATTTAGTGTATTCTTTTTAAGGTGCAACTCTGCAGGGGCTTCCTATCTTAGCTCTCTCGGTATGGCTTACAAGGACTCTATGTGATCTAACACTGAACCTTGTATTTTACTTCATTTCTCACCACTGTTCTCCACACTCCATATTCCTATTACAAAGGAATTTTCAGAGGCTGTGGGATTAGCTCAGTGGTACAAGTGGCTGACTGCTCTGTGAAGGCCTGGATTCATTCCCTAGCACAACAGGAAGCAAAGCAAAAAAAGCTAACTTTTTGTAGCTTTGTACATGCTGTCTCTTTAATCTGAAACAGTTCCTCCCTTACTTTTACCATCACCTCTCTCAGATTAACTCCTTTCTGCCCTCCATCAGGACTCATTATGTCTATCCCTAGCATCTGACATTTGACTCTAAATATTTTTTAAATATAAACAAGAATCTAGTTGCGTTGAATGTACTCCTAGTGTCTCAAAAGGTTATTTGCTTGCTTCTCCTTTAACCCCTTCTGTTCCTATAAACAACTCTATTGCTCCATATAGAACCCTGCATTTCTATAGAATGCAGCTTGGGAAACCCAGCTCTTTCAGGCTACCTTCCTTTACTTATTTATATTTTAATGCATATGGGTGCTTTGTCTTCATGTTTGTCTGTGCACCAGTATGTGTACCTGGTGCCCTCAGATGACATCAGATCTCCTGGAACTGAGTTACAGATAGTTGGTTGTAAGCCACCATGTGGGCATTGGGAACAGAACATGGGTCCTCTGGAAAAGCCAGTGCTCTTAAATACTGAGCCATCTTGTGGTTAAAATTTTCCATTTTCAACATGGAGTCTCATAAATACTGAAAGTGCCATTCAGTAGGCACAAATAGGTACCTAGTCAAAAAAATCAAGTCTCTAGTCATGTTATTACTTTCCCATATATGTAATATTTTCATCTAGAATAATTACTGATTAATCACAATTCCTTAGCAATAATTTCCTCCTCTTTCCTACTCTAAAAGAAATTATGCACTTGAAAATAATTTTAAGGGTCTGAAGAGATGGCTCAGCTTAACTATTGGAAGCACTTGTTCTTCCAGGGGATCTACCAGGACCAGGTTCACTTCCCAGAATCCATATGGTGGCTTATAACTGTCCATAACTCCAATTTCAGGGGATCCAATACCCTCTTCTGATCTCCATTGGCACCAGGATAGCATGCGATGCATGGACAGACATACATATAGGCAAAATATTCATACACATGAAATAAATCTAAAAAATATTTTTAAAGTTTCTACTGAACAAAAAACCTTCTGTTAACTTCATCTTTCTTTCCTATAGTGTCCATTCTAGCTGAAACAGAAGAAATCAAGGCCATTTTGAAGGACAAAGGAATTGATGTGGAGACCATTGCCGAGGTGTACCCTATCAGAGTACAGCCAGCTCGTATTCTCAGCCACATTTATTCCAGTCTAGGTAAGGAGGTTGGCCAGCCTACTAGAATTAAAGTGTTATGTGATGCTGGCTGACTTCTTTTTATTTCCCTGCTACTTTAATTGGATCCAATTAAATCCAAGGAATTTAGTCTCTGGAATTCAAGTTTCTGAACCCATCTTTTTTGAGAAGGTGATAATTTTAGATGTGCTTTATGCATACTTTGGCATGTAGCACATACTTGTTTTCAGACAATATTATATCCTTATTCTAAATGTATATTTGACTACCATGTTCTCCCCTTTCTTAGAACCTATATTTCTATTTTGAATACATGCTAATTTTATGTAGAGTAGTGATCAAGGAACTTGTTTTAGGCCTTTTATACTTTTTCAGGTAATAAACTATTATAATAATTCCTTAATTCAATATTTTTTGTAAATAGTTATTATTTTATTAAATTTAATGATGAAGTTTTTGCATTAAACAAATTGCAACACTGTTATCTGAAAGTGATTCAGGGGCTGGGAGTCTGTAGCTCAGTGGCAGAACACTTGCTTAGCATGCACAAACCTTGAGTTTTGGTCTTACTAACAAAAAATAAGGCTATGCAACATTTCTGAACTTCAGGTACTGGTCTCTAGTACCTATGAACATTACCTTATATGGCAAAAAAACTTACAGGTGTAGTTATATTAAGGAACTTGAGATGAAACTATTACTCTAGATTATTGAGGTAAACTCCAAATGCAATCATAGGAACATATTGGGTTACAAAATTAGCTTTGATATAATAGAAATAAAGATAAAGGACTGAGTCTATTAGTCAGGGTTCTCTAGAATAACAGAACTTACAGAGTGAATTAATGAATATATATATATATATATATATATATATATATATATTCATGAATGAATATGTATGTATGTGGGATTTATTAGACTGACTTACAGGCTGTGGTCCAGCTAGTCTAACAATGGGTACCTATGAATGGAAGGTCCAAGAATCCAGGAGTTTTTTTATTCACAAGGCTGGGCATCTCAACTGGTCTTCAGTATACAACAGAATCCCAAAGAAGTTGGTTCTAATGCCAGTGAAGGAGTGGACTTGTTAGTGAGGGTGAGAGTAAGCAGGCAAAGAGAGATGCTTGTATAGAAGCTTCCAGCAGAAGGTATAGCCCAAATTAAAGGTGAGTCTTCCCATCTCAAAAGATCTGGATTAAAAGTTTGTCTTCCCACCTCAAAGATAAAGATTAGAAGTGAATCTTCCTGCTTCAAATGTTTAAGCAAAAGTTCCTCATGGGTGTGCCCAGCCATTTCTGTGGTTTTACTTAATTCCAGATGTAGTAGCATCACAAGTCCACCCTTTTTCAACTTGACAAGCAGTCATATCTCCTTATGTTGTGATTAATTTCCAAATGAAAAACAATAACCAGGTCGTAATTATGCCTGATATGATATAACTATCCTATGTACATCCACAAACTTATTATGTTTAACCAGGTCATAATAATGCTCAACATAATATAACTACCCTCATACAACTACAAATGAGGTATAAATTTAGCATAGATGACAATGGCACTCAAGGGATATCCATTTATTATCTCAAACTTAAATGTGATCATCATTGACATTCTCTTAATTGTTGTTAGACTACCTGATAAAGAAATTGAGGAAAGAAAACACAAATATCTTTATAAATGCATTCCTAATGAACTATGATAGAAATGCCAATTATAATCCTCACTTACACCACTGTTTGTGTATTCTTAGTTGGTATTTATAGCTACCTTCCTCTCCTGTACCTTCTGTATTTTCTCTACCCTCAGCAAGCACCTCAGCAGGTCTTGGCTCTTTTCCTAGAGGAGTGACCCATACCATTATTCCTGAATGGTCCTGTACCTTTTGTCATCCTACCTAGATTAAGTGGTTGTAGTTTCCCAATAGCATTACAGGACATAATAGCACCAAGAGACACCATAAGGATCTCCTGGACTCCAGACACAATCTTTCTTACCTCCATTGTGGAGAAGCAGTCCAATGTCCCCTTAGTAATCTGGATCAATCACCCCTCCTAACACTGTTATTTTTTCTTAGCTTGTTGATTTAAGGGCATCAGAAGTCCAAAGTGTCCAGAGGGGAGTCTGAACTTCCAGTTCAATAATGTTCACTCTCCCTTCTGTGTAATCAAAATTCTAGGCCAACAGAACTAAAGGTTATAGGAACAGGGAGCAGAAACTTTCCTAGTGGATCAGTAGTGGTAATAGTAAGTAGAACTATTCTGTTTTCTATCCCTTGATTCCTGGACCTATGGATCCTTGTTATGGGAGAAACAATACCATACTTTGGATGCTAATTCAAAGCATATACCACCTTCTAGAGAATCCTGTTCCAACTTTTGATATTTTTGTGACTTAATTGGTACTATAACTGTGTCTTCAAAAGGCCATTCCATCTTCCTATCAATCCAGCAGCTTCAGGATGGTGGAACATGGTAAGACCAGTAGTGCCTTCCATTATTGTGGGCCCACTTTTACACTTCTCTGGCTCTGAAGTGACTTCCTTAGTCAGAAGAGGTACTGTGTGGACTACCACGGATAAGGCATTCTGTAAGTCCATGGATGATGGTTTTAGCAAAAGCAACAAATGCAAGAAAGGAAAATCCATAACCACAATAAGTATTTACTCTAGTAACAACAAAGTGTTGGCCTTTCTATGAAAGACATGGTCCAGTGTAGTCAGCCCGCCATATCTGAGGCTCAGTGTTAGTCTCTGTTATTTCTGGATCTGGCATTCAATAACAACTATAGCCAGGGCAGCCTTGGTGAGTGGTAGTCCATGTTGCCAAATCCAGGCTGGCCTCAAACTTGTGATCCTCCTGCCTCTACCTCTTTCAGCAAATCCTATACCACAATTGACTATTAATATGGCCCATTAAACACTGACTAAAGTGTTCAACTGCTTTCCTAATCCAAAGTATGTTCCACCAGTGAGCAGCATGGTCAAACCTGTCACAGCAGTATCACGCTCCCAGGTACCAACTGCTGTCTTTTTTGTTGTTGTTGTTGTTTTGTTTTTTGTTTTTTTTAATTAATTTATTTATTAAAAATTTCCACCTCTTCCCCGCCTCCCTTTTCCCTCTCCCTCCCCACCTCTCTCTCCCTCTCTAGTCTTAAGAGCAGTAGGGCTCCCTGCCCCGTGGGAAGTTCAAGGTCCTCCCCCCTCCATACAGATCTATAAAGGTGAGCATCCAAACAAACCAGGCTCCCACAAAGTCAGTCCATGCAGGAGAATCAAAACCCAGTGCCTTTGTCCTTGGCTTCTCAGTCAGCTTTCATTGCCAGCCACATTCAGAGAGTCCAGTTTGATCACACGCTCCATCACTCCCCGTCCAGCTGGCCTTGGTGAGCTCCCATTAGATCAGTCCCACCATCTCATTGGGTGGACGCACCCCTCGTGATTCTGACTTCCTTGCTCATATTCTCCCTCCTTCTGCTTTTCATTTGGACCTTGGGAGCTAAGTCCAGTGCTCCAATGTGGGTCTCTGTCTCTATCTCCATCCATCGCCAGATGAAAGTTCTATGGTGATATGTAAGATATTCATCAATGTGGCTATGGGACAAGGCCAGTTCAGGCAGCCTCTCCTCTGCTGCCCAAGGAACAATCTGGGGACCTCTCCTTGGACCTGGGAACCCCTCTAGAATCAAGTCTCTTGCAAACCCTAAAATGACTCCCTTAATTAAGATATTTACTTCCCTACTCCCATATCCATCCTTCCTTCATCCTACCTATCCCAATACCCCAAGCTTTCCAGAATCCTCCCCTTCTCCCTTCTCTCTACCCATCTCCCCTTACATCCACCCCCACCCCCCCATGCACCCAAGTTTGCCTGGCAATCTTGTCTACTTCCAATATCCAGGAGGATAACTATATGATTTTCTTCAGGTTCACCTTCTTATTTAGCTTTTCTAGGGTCACGAATTATAGGCTCAAAGACCTTTAATTGTGACTAGAATCCACTTATGAGTGAGTACATACTGTATTCCTCTTTTTGGGTCTGGCTTACCTCACTCAGTAAAGCGTTTTCTATTTCCATCCATTTGCATGCAAAATTCAAGACGTCATTGTTTTTTACCGCTGAATAAAACTCTAATGTGTATATGTTTCACACCTTCTTTAATCATTCTTCTATTGAGGGGCACCTAGGTTGTTTCCAGGTTCTGGCTATTACAAGTAGTGCTGCTATGAACATAGTTGAACAAATGCTTTTGTAGTATGATAGGGCCTCTCTTGGGTATATTCCCAAGAGTGGAATTTTTGGGTCCTGAGGTAGGTTTACTACCAGTTTCTTGAGAAACCGCCACACTGATTTCCAAAGTGGCTGCACAAGTTTGCATTCCCACCAACAATGGATGAGTGTTCCCCTCATTCCACATCCTCTCCAGCATAGGCTATCATTGGTGTTTTTGATTTTAGCTATTCTGACAGGTGTAAGATGGTATCTCAAAGTTGTTTTGATTTGCATTTCCCTGATCGCTAAGGAGGTTGAGCATGACCTTAAGTGTCTTCTGGCCATTCGAAGTTCATCTGTTGAGAATTCTCTGTTCAGTTCAGTACCCCATTTTTTAATTGGGTTAATTAGAGTTTTTAGTGTCTAGTTTCTTGAGTTCTTTGTGTATTTTGGAGATCAGACATTTGTCTGATGAGGGGTTTTAAAGATCCAACACCGCAAAGTTGTCCTCTGACCCATGTATGTCTGCCTTTGCACACACATCATGCACATACCATAACAAATAAAAATTTAAAAGCAGAATTTCAACTTCAGGTATAATGGAATAGCTTGTGGGTTTTTTTAGTCCTTATACTAAGAATAGCCCAAAAAGGAGGAGAAAAATATTACAAGATACATTAGGAAGCCTAAGAAATGAATAAATGAACAGAAAGCCAAAGGAAAAATATTGAGACAAACAGCTGCTCTTCCTCCTTCTCTTCTTCCTTGTTTTTGTGAAATTGCCTCACTGTATATACCAAGCTGGCCTCTAACTTACAATCCTCCTGCCTACTACTTATAGTTGTCTTGCCTCAGCCTTCTATGTGCAGGACTTATAGGTTTGTAACATTATGCTTGGTTCAGATATACAAACTTCTGTTAATATAGTAAATAATAAAAATATAACCAATTATTAATAAATAATGAACTGTGTTCTGATGTGGAAAAAATCTAAAGATTTCATATATATTTCAAAAGCCTGCTAGAAGATGGGCAGTGGTGGTTTATACCTTTAATCCCAGCACTTGGAAGGCAGAGGCAGGTAGATCTCTGTGAGTTTGAGGCCAGCCTGGTCTACAGAGTGAGTTTCAGGGCAGTCAGGACTGTACACAGAAAACCAGAGAGAGTTGGGGGGATCCATTAGAAATAATAAATTGGGCAAAGATATAGGCACAAAATTACATATTTTCATTTCTATATTAAAAATAAATGATCCAAATAGTTGCATCAAAAAGAACAAAGACTATAAAAATGAATATAACCAAATAGGTAAAAGATTTGTTTGCTAAATATAACAAATGTTAATGAAAGAAATTAAATTAATGAAAATTGAAATTATTTTATTGTCTGAAAAACAGATGTAACTGGAGATTATAATGTTAAATGAAATAAGCCAGACTTTGATAAATAATTGCATTTTTTCTCAATTTTATAAATTTTTTAAAAGGTTTAAAGTTAAACATAGACTAGGTATATGATTCAAGAATTCTAAGTACATACTCTAAAGGAAATGCAGTGAAGAGGTTGAATAGGTATTATCTTTGTTACTGTACAGTATTGTTCACAGTAGACAAAATGGGAACACTCAAAATTCCCATCTACAATTGAATAGAAAAACAAAGGTGGTATATACATAGGTAGAATATTTGGCCTTAAAAGAGGAAGGAAATTTTAACATGTGCTATGCCGTATATGAACTTCAAAGATGTTGTGCTGAGTTAAATAAAGCAGTTAGTTTTCAAAGGAAAGATATTTATGAGTCTAGTTGAGAGTCTAATTCATAGACACAAAGCAGAAATTTATTGTTAGATTGAGAGGAGAAGGGAACTAGCAAGTAGAGTTTCAGTTTGATAAGATGAAGTAGTTCTGGGAGGTGAATAGTGATGGCATTTACACAGTGATGTACTTAAAGTCACTAAACTGTACTCTTAAAATGATAAATTTTATGTTTCACATATTTTACTGTGATAAAAAAATACTAGCAAAGGCCAGCATGGTGGCTAAACAGGTAAGAACACTTTCCACCAAAGCCTGATGACTTGAGTTTGATCCCGGAAACCCAAAGTGAAAAGAACCAGCTACAAAGGTTGCCCTCTGACCTCCATGTGTGTCATGTCATGAGAATGTGTGCCTGCACACACACACACACACACACACACACAAAACCGTAAGCAATAATAGTCAAAACCTAGTTTTGATATTAATCCCAGAGCAAATATGTGCTTAATTCAGTGGAACTTGTAATTGACCATTCTCTGGTCTGCTCCCTTACAAGTTGAAGCAACTCTGAAAATGTAGCATGTTTAGGGGTTGGGGGAATGGCTCAGTTGGTGAAACACTTGTCTTGCCATCATGAGGACCTAAGTTTGGTTCCATGAATAAACATAAGAATGTCAGGAATGGTATGCATGCTTGTAATCCCAGCAGTGGGAAGGAAGAGACAGGAGGATCTAGGGACTCACTAGCCAGCAAATCTAGCCTAATTGGTAGACTAGGTTAATGAGAGATTGGAACTCACAAGGAGATGAGTGAGAATGACACCCAAGGCTTTCCAATGGCCTGCATGTGTACTCATACACATAGGCATGAAAAGGCAGCATATTTGGTAAAGATATCAAATCAAGTATTCATGAAAATATGTCATAGCCAAAAACATATAGTAGGGGTTCTATTGGTACTGACAAGAAAAGGTATTCAATGTATTTGGGAGGAAAACATTTTTAGAACAATATGTAAAGTATTTTCCCCTCTGGTGATAGGAAAAATACATGTCAGTGAATGAACCATACACTTAATGTATCTAAAAGTCTATTTAATTTACTTTTACATATATAGTAATATATATAATACATTTAACATAAGTATGTATTACAAGATAGATTCTAATTTTAAGAAAGCTAAACTGTAAAAGGAAGACACCTTAAACGGAAAGAAATGAGGTAGATGTGTGCCTTTATGTATATACATACATGTATATGTATATACATGGTATCTGTGGAAACCAATATTGCTTTAATCTGTACACTAAGAATATCCTGACCATTTTTCAATTTTGTGTCAGGATGCAACAGTAGAATGAAACTCAGTGGACGACCCTACAGGCTCATGGGTGTGCTTGGAACATCAAAACTCTATGACATTCGCAAAACAGTCTTCACTTTCACTCCACAGGTGAGTGCGATAGACTGCACCATGCATTGAGATGAATCAAAACGAGAGGAAACTGCAGAAATAAAACATTTGCTGAAATTGGATTAGTCACAGTCTTACAGGGCCTTGCATATATTAAGTGATTCAATAACTGTTCTCTGAATTGAACTGAATTGAACTTGCTATGTAGAGCTTTGCCAAGTGACTGCCACTACCAATATTCCCGGGTGTTAAACTGTGATGGGATTTTCCAAATGTTAAGGTATTTACAGAATTTTCCTTATTTTTCAGAAGTTAAATTAAGACTGTATCTGTCCTTTATGCGTGAAATACAATCTATTTAACTGCTAAATTAAGTGTTTCCTATTATGAAGGAGCCTTTTCATTTGCATAGAAATCTTCAGTGTCCTCTTTTAAAGAAAAATATCAGGACTATTAGGCCGTAATCATACATATTTGTGGCCTGACATTTGTTAACTACATACATAGATCTAAGATGTATAGTAGTAGAAATTATTTTCTGGGAAGGAAGCTAGGTATAGTGTCACATGCTTGTAATTCCAGCATTTAGGAGGATGAGGCAGTGCATTCAGCACCAACATGGGCAACATGGTTAGCAAGGTTACTATGAGGTACATAGGAATATTCTGTCTCAACCAAGGGCTGAAGATGGAGCTTAATGGTCAAGTACTTTATAAACATGCACAAGTCCTAAGGTTTGATCTCTAGTAGCAAAGTAATTATTTTCTCAAAGGAAAATTTTAATCCTCTATTTGTTATATCTAAAACAGTGCATCTAAGATAGACAAAAAGATGAACTTAACGTAGACTCTATTTCTGACTTTTCCATTTGCTAATCAGATGTGTGTGTTAGTTCACATACCGTCTCTGGGTCTTACTCTTCATGTTAAAAGAAAAACGGCAAGTTGAGAATAGTGGTGCATGCCTGTAATCCCATAACTCAGGAATTATAGAGCTGGGACATTATGAGTTCAAAGCTAGCCTAGGCTATATAATAAGAAATTAGGAAGAAAGAGGGGAGGGAGAGGAGGTGCTACCTATACTAGGTGGTTATAGGATTAAATAAAATTATATACTTGAAAAAATTTGTAAGCAGTCACACACTTTAAAAATATCAGAAACTATCCAGGCAGTGATGGCTGCACACTTTTATCCCAAGCAGTCAGGAGGCAGAGGCAGGCAGATCTCTGAATTCAAGGTCAGTCTGGTCTACAGAGTGAGTTTCAGGACAGCCAGGGCTACACAGAGAAATCTCAGCTCAAAAAAATCCAAAAGAAAAAGAAAAAAATATCAGAAATTATTGTTATGCATACCATTGACTACCACATACTTTGGGAATTATTAGTCATTAAATTTGAGAGTACTGTTTCCTATGTGACATATATGCTTTATGAATAAGCAGACATTGAGAAATACTATTTGATATTTGTGAGAGCAAATTTTTCTGAATGATTGTTTTCCTTTTCTCAGTTTATAGACCAGCAACAGTTCTACCTGGCCCTGGACAACCAGATGATAGTAGAAATGCTTAGAACAGATCTTTCCTACCTCTGTAGCCGCTGGAGGATGACAGGCCAGCCCACCATCACTTTCCCCATCTCACATACCATGCTTGGTAAGGGAATGAGTGAAGGAAGTTATGTGTGTGGTCCTTCAGTGGTGCACTGCAGAGCAGTACCCACCAGCTTAGCTTTTGTGCCAGACAATTTTCTAAGCTCTGGACACACAGGGTGATAGACAAGTAAGGTTTCTGTTCTATTTAAGTTTATGTTTCAGGAGGTGAAGACAGATGATAAATATGAAATAAATGAATACATAAGAATATTTCATATGGTTTGAGAGCCATGTGTAAAAATGGAGCAGAGACTAGCTTTAGATAACTGATTTCTGAGTTAATTTTCCAAAAATTATATTATACAATTCTTTTTAAAGAGAACACTACTACATCCTGCATCTGTTTTATTCCAGTGGAGCATCACAATTTATAGGAAAGTTCCCAGGTTTCTCCTTCCAAAGCCTGTCTTACTGAAGGAGGCACATCTAGGAGGACAAAGTGCAAAAGCTTTTGGGTTGTATTAGGGGCAGGGAGAGGTGCTTCCTCACAAGGAAAGGCTTTATTGTTCTGAGTTCTGCTGCTTTCTTTCTGTGTCTCTGCTGTTGCTTCCAAAGTTCTGTGTGTGCTGCCAAAGTGCTTAGAATTTCTTTTCATTAAAAAGAACCTTTTATCATTAATCATTCAAAATCCAGACAGAGTGGTAGGAATTTTAGTCACATCTGAAAAGGGCTACAAAATAACAGGAGCTGAGGAAGTAGGGTAGTGTTTGTTCTTTTTAACAAGCGCCCATTTAAAACTAATGTATTCGCACAATTGTCTTGAGATAGTTACAGTTTAATTTAGAAAGCAAAGTTAATAGATAATTATTAGAAGACAAATTCAAGATGATACATTAAGTACTAAAGCACTGAAAGTTATCATAGTGCCTAAGAAAAAGTTCAGCTGATGTAGAACTTAGGCTTTTGAATTTTCTTTTCTCGGTTTTTGTTTGTAACAAGGTTTTTATGCATTGAGCCGCCTCACTTGCCATGTTTGGTTTCTGAGACCGGGTCTTATGTATGCAGGAGGGGCTTTTCATCTAAGCAACTAGTCAGCTCTGACCCACCCGCTGCTCCCCAAACAACCACACAGAGACTTATCATTAATTATAAATACTTGGAAGATAGCTCAGTTTGTTACTAGCTAACTCTTACATCTTAAATTAACCCATATTTCTTATCAGTGCTCTGCCACATGGCTCGGTACCTTTCCTCAGTACGGCAAGTTCATCTGCTTCCTCTACCCTCCTTCTTCCCAGCATTCTCTCTGCCCCTAAAATCCTGCCTAGCTATCAACCAGTCAGCTTTTTATTAACAGAGAGCAATACGTCTTCACAGTATACAGAAGGATTATTGAAGAGCTTATATAGCCTAAGCTCTCTTCAAACTTGATATATAGCCAAGGTGGCCTTTGGACTCCTGATCTTCCTACCTCTGCCTCCCAAGTACTGAGATTACATATGTTTACTACTATGTCTGACTTTTATTGGTTTTTGTTATTATTTTGCTTTGTGTTTTTGAAGCAGAGTCTCACACTATAGCCCAGGCTATTGTGGAATTCATTATGTACATGAGCCTGACTTCAAACTCATGGCCCTCCTGCCTCTGCCTCCAGAGTGTTACTAGAAAGAACAGATTAGAAAAGGCAAATCACAAGACTGTCATCAGTTTCATATAAAAACCAGATAATTACCATCCTTCTAGAGGTTTTTATGTACACACAACACACACACACACACACACACACACACACACACACACACACCAGACCCATCATGAGTAATACCATCTGTACTGACTGGTTTTGTGTGTCAAATTGACAAACTGGAATCATCAGAGGAAGGAGCCTCAGTTGAGGAAATGCTTCCATCCATAAGGCATTTTCTCAATTAGTTATCAATGGGGGAGGGCCAAGCCCATTGTGGGTGGTACTAACCCTGGGTTAGTGGTCTTGGGTTCTATAAGAAAGCAGGCTGAGCAAGTCATGGAGAGCAAGACTAGTAAATAGCTGCCCTTCATGGGGTCTGCATCAACTCCTGCTTCCAGGATCCTGCCCTGTTTTGGGTTCCTGTCCTGACTTCTTTCAGTGATGAACAGCAATGCTGAAGTGTAAGCCGAATAAGCCCTTTCCTCCCCAATCGCTGTTTTGTTGCAGTGATAGAAACCCTAACTAAGAGACTGTCTGGGAGATGCTTATCATAATGCTAATCCCAATGGTTCAAGGAGAAAGACCACTAACCATAATCATCAATGACCAAATTAATTAAAGCAAACAATTAATTAAAGCAAGCTTTTTAAACTCATGTACATGGGCTGCCTCCCCCTATGGTAGCATTCAAGAGGTCAGCCTTGGACATGGGTAAGTAATAATTTTTATAGTTCAGGGGTTGGTGGTTTCCATAACGAGTATTTGGCAGGCTAATAGGTAGGGTTACAGGAGCAATATTATAACGCAGTCATAATAACATAGTCATAACAACCCTTTGAAACAAAGGTAAGGTTGCAGGATGGTCATAAAAACTTTTTGAAGCCAGACAGTAGTGAAATACACCTTTAATCCCAGCACTTGGGAGGCAAAGACAGGCAAATCTCTGAGTTCAAGGTTCCATGACAGTCAAGACTACACAGAGAAAACCTGTCTCAAAAAAAAAACAAATAAACAAACAAAACTAACATTTTGAAACAAAGACATGTTAAGTGAGTCATAGCCCAATCCTTGAGAAACAGAGACTTAGTCATAAACAGGAATAAACCTAGTTTCAAGCCTAAGATGGAGGCAGACTGGTTCATCAATCGTATGTGTCATAAACATTTGATGAATAGTTGATGTTGTTAAAAATGTTGGTTACTTGTGATTAACAAGGTAATGCCTTTGAAGAACTTAATCTTTACCATTTGCCCAGTCTACAGTGATGTTGCTCTTCACATTAATCACTGAAGCACAGGATGGTCAGTAAGGAGTATCTCATTTGTGGTACTACCAGTACAATGTTGGTTTGAAATGATTGAAAGACTTTCCCTAGTTCTAAGTTAAAACAACAAAATATGTTTTTAAAATCTTTTACTTTTAAGAGGAAGATGGAACCAGCTTGAATCCAAGTATTCTGGCAGCACTCCGAAAAATGCAGGATGGCTATTTTGGTGGGGCAAGGTAAGTGAGCCAGGGGAGATGTAGCGCAGGAAACTATAAATAATGCTTGAACCCTGCTTATCATATGAGAAAGTCAAATTTAGATTCAAATCAATGCTGAAATAGCACACACAATTATAAGAATTCACTGCACTTTCTCAAGATATCATCTCAGGAGGCACATGAGTGTCCACTTCTATTGATTCTTACATGGAAGAACTATTACTGAGTTGTAAAATAGCCTTCTAGAAATTTGTTTGTCTGTATAAACCAAGGCCCATTTTGACAGTGTTTCTATTATTCGGTGTACATCTATAATTGGAATTCTTATATATAAAAATTAACTTATTTTGTGGTTTATTATTAATATAGTCTTTGGGATCTTATTTTATTCAATATATCATGACCCAGTCCTGTCATTATTTCTTTCATTTTTCAAATTATCAAGATCTGACCATTGGTAGCTCGTTTAAACTGGCTTCTTTAGAAACTTAATACTACTAATTTCATTTGAAGTTTTGTAATTAGCTTATTAAGTAGAGAATGATATAGTTCAACTTAATTTATTACAACATATAAAAATGTCAAATATTGTCTATGTCTAAAATTGTCTTTTGATGATATTTTTAAAGTTTTTTGAGATTTATTTTTATTTTTATTCTATATATATGAGAGTTTTGCCTCAGTGTATGTTTGTGTACTGTGTGCATGCATGCCTGATTCCCAGAGGCCAGAAGAGAGTATCAGATGCCCTTGAAATGGAGTTATAGATGATTCTGAGCTGCCATTTGGGTGCTGGAAACTGAGCCCAGGTCCTCTGCAAGAGCAGCCACCGCTCTAAACCACTTAGCAGTCTCTCTAGCCCCGATGGTATTTTCTAAAAATAATGTGATTGATTTGTGTGATTTATCTTCATTCTCTATCCACTTCTCTAATAACTAATGCAGTTTTTTTTACCAGATATTCAACATAGTGTACAGCAATAAAAGAAAATACAACTAATCTGTTGGAGGATTGTGAACTCTCATTAGTGGTCTTTCTTTAAAAATCTTTAAAAATCTTGTCCCTAACATGTTAAAACATGCTAAACATTTTTTATTGACAATTGTGACTCATTTCTTTATCTTTTAAAAAGATATTTCCTGATTTTCTGTTTTCTATCTACCCTATAATTATAAGGATTCAGACAGGTAAATTGTCAGAGTTTTTGACAACATCTTGCTGCACACATTTAAGTTTCATGGACACCGGACCTGAGGGTAAGCTGTACAGTGAAGATTATGATGAAGACTATGATGAGCTGGAATCTGGCAACTGGATGATGGATAGCTATGATTCAACAAGTAATGGTAAGGAGGCCTTAAACACCACTGGCTGGCCAGACAAGAATGCGAGTGATTGTTTAGCTTCATCATTAATGACTCATGTTTCCAACAGTCTCATAGTGTACCATCCTCGGTCCTCTTTAAAACATTTAGATTTCTACTTTTGTTTTGCTTCACTTTTCTTTCCTCTACTGCTCTTCAGTTTCTGGTTTAATGTCTCTGTGGTGACTGATGGTAGAGTATGAGGTTAGGCAATGCCTTACCAAGATTAGGGAGGATTTCTTTCTTGAGTTTTTGAGGTAGCTGGTAATTTGAAATAGGAAGAAACAATGATAAGTAAAATATTTAATCAATAGTGCAGTTGAAAACATCATACATATACAAATATATGTATATCTTATGTTTGGTATTAAAATATGAAATTTGGTTAGAGTTATGTTTAAAGTTTCACATAACTCAAGGACTTATATTTTACATAATATTAGAGACATGTCTGGATATTTCTGAGGATGTCTCTGTACTTTGAAAAAGCCTGTTCAGAATGTCTGTTGCTTTTATGTGACAAATAAGATGAATAGTGTACATAATCCATGCTAACGATATAAACATGGTGCCATGAGAATGCATTCTGATAGCATGGATTTAAAATGACTGGGAAACACTGACTACAGTGCACAAGTACTGACCTTTGCAAGACAAAAATTACATTGTTTGAGTCTTCAAAAGAGAATGGTCAATAAGAGAATGGTTCTTCTATCTAAATCTTGGTGGACTATTTTTTGTTGTCTGGGTAGTTGACTATTATCTACCATAAGATACTAACAAGCATAATCTCATAGAATAAGTAATGTCTTTTGTTTGAGCTCAACATTTACTCTATATTCTTCTTTATTTGCATAGTATTTCTTTTTGTATAAAGCATTTTGATAATTAAATATAACCAATATCCCTCTATTCAAGTATCTGGATTATATTCATAGTTAAAATATCTATCACTAGGATACCATTGAATTTGAGTTTGATTCTTAGAGCTCTACTAGTTCCCATTGGTCACACCAGATCACAGAGGGACTTCTAAAGAGGTCACTGAAGATTGTCCAGCACCAAATGATGCATGACAGACAGACAGACTGTAAGAGTCTGTACTTTTTAATGGATACCCACACCCGGTTTAGGCTGTGCACTTTTTTGAACTCGAGCCCATGAGAATGGACGATTGTCCTGAGGGTTGAAAAAGAGACACATACACAAAGAGACCTTTGTTCATTTACCAGAGTAAATGGCAACTTTATTAAACTCAAGTCAGGTATCTATATTAGTGGGCTAGAAGGATCGAAAATGCAAGGCCTCCTCCCATCCAGGAGCAGGAGGGAAGATTAAAGTCTTCTCGGCACCTGGAGCAGGATCAGCTGGGGAGCCAGGCTATGGGCCTACTGCTAAAGCCTTGAATACAAGTGGAATCACCATAACAAAGAGAACCAGGTTCTTGCTAAGTTATCCCCTTAAGCCAGAGCTAGTGTAGAGTCTCCAGGGAGCCGGAGGTCACACGGCCCTGCGAATCGCCAGGAGAAGGGAAGAACCTTGGTAGCTACAACAGACAGCTTTGGTTCTAATCCCAGCACTTCCCTAACTGTAAACATGATAAATGTTCATTTTAAAGTGTGACATTTCCATTATCTGTATGCCAATATGATTATAAGTGTGTCCAACCTTTGGATATCATGACATGATGTCATCATCTACCAAGTTCATGTTCAAGAACCATGCAATAGAGTTTTTAAAAACCTCATGTTTTGAGTAAGTTCATAATTTTATTTGAGGCCTTATCGTAGTTATCCTTGGCTGCATGTGGCCCATAATCCATTGAACTGAATGTACCTAGACGATACATGGGAGAAGGTGAGCCCAAGAGAAGAGAGACAATATATACTTTCTGCAACAATTCTCAATGCCCAGGACACTGCTTGTTCCGTAGTAACAACACATTTAGTGAATAAATAAATAAATAAATAAGATGTCTAAAAGGCAATTTGTGACCAATAGTCCTTAACCAATGACATGCAAATATGCTTTTTTTGTCAGTGATTAGTACTAGTGTTTGTAGACTCTTTTTAGAACTAACTCAGTATTTGGTGGAAGATTTTTGCCCTTCCATGGCCTTTCTCCAGAAAGTATCTTTCTATTAGTTGAAAGGGCCTGTCCTTCCCCTTTTCCAATGTTGTCTCCCTTCTGCCACCCCTGCCATCACACACATAGAAATTATGAAATACTTGCTCTGCTCATTCTAGAACAAGTTCATACATTTAGCTTTCAGTAACTTTACCTGTGTCTCAGCAAAATTGAAGAGCAAGTGGATCCTGGTAAATGGCTGTAGCCTCTAAATCTTAATCTATGAGGTTCTACAATAGTCACAGGTTTTTTTCCCATGAGTCAAGAACAGCGTTCCTCGGAGATGGTGTTTTAGGTATAAGAGCCACTCATCCTGACTACTAGGGTAGATTTTGAAGTAACTATGTTTGTTTTTGTCTCTTCCCCTTCCCCAACTAACCTTGCAGCTCGCTGTGGTGATGAAGTTGCTCGTTATTTAGACCACCTTTTGGCACACACTGTTCCCCATCCTAAACTAGCTCCTACCTCACAGAAGGGAGGGCTAGATCGGTTCCGAGCTGCTGTGCAAACAACTTGCGACTTAATGTCCTTGGTGACCAAGGCCAAGGAGCTGCATGTACAGAGTGAGTAATGCCATTACTCCCTAGTGTCAAACACAGACGACATGAAGCCCAAGATGGAGACAGGAACATGGTTTTGTTCACTGTTTTGTTCCCAGCCTCTTGGGCAGCACCTAGAATATAGTAGGCACTCAAATCCTTATGAAATCAATGAATTCTATATAATCTTGATATGGATACTGTCATGTAGTCTGGTCTGACCAAGAAAACAGCAAGACGCAGAACAAGAGAATGTTCAGTTTTAATATAGAAGTAAAATGTGGAAGAAGTTTTTTCATTTGGAAAATTACTTCTTTGAGGGTAATTTAGAATTTCTATTATAAAACAGGGTAGACAGAAGCAGACACTGACTATAAGCTACAACTGGATTTCCCTTTATGCCCACTCTAACTGTGCATCCAGTTGTTCTAGCTATGTAGATCTCAAATATAATAGTCATTCTTCACAACATCACCACAGTTCTCTTCATAACCAGTACCTTCCTTTAGTAATGTTTTCATTGGAAGGTATCTTTTGTATGTTACAAGAGTAGCCATGGTTCCTAAGACTTCAATATCTCTGTGGTTGCTCATATCTCTCCCTCATATGGAGGGAGAGAAGGGCTCCTACGCCACACCTAGATGACCTGAATGTTACATTATCCAGAGGATGAGAATGGTTGTGATGCATGCTCTTGCTACCTAAATTTTTATTGACCATTACTAACCAGATACTAAATGTGAGCACTGTTTAATATTGAGATGAGGGAAAAACTTAGGATACCCTTTGGTTATGCTCCTACTAGAAAGAATTTATGCAACAACATGAATTTACGTTCATTAAATTGCATTTGTCATTTGTAAATCAGGAAACCAGAATTTGATTCCTAGCATTGCTATTTACTTACTTGACCAGTTATTTGAGCTCTGTATCATCTCTCTGTGTAAAATGCTGAAAAATGAAATGCAGGTCTCTCCTTAGAGGTTATGGTAAGTATTTCCTCTATGTAAGTAAAACACCTTAGAAACATCTCAAAGTTGATCAACCACTACATGTTTTTTGATTCTCTAGATAGAATCATCCAGTCACAGCCTCTGGAAATCAAATATTTGCCTAGAAAATCCAAGAAAAAGTAAAATGTAACTGAGTGTTTTTATGTATTTATATGAAGATATTAGTGATAGTATCATTGTGATAGCGATCCTATTAATAAATATAATATATGTGTAGTTGATGGTACAATTACAGAAAATCATTTAAAATATAAAAATATGCATTGATTAATTGTATATTTAAAAATTATCTAATAGCCACATTTCTTTTTATTTATATCATTGAAGGAAACTTTCATCATTCTTGTTCTGTAAAGAACTGATCCACATGTTACCATATTGCTGAGTCAACCATGTGTTTTATAAGTTTCGTACTTACCTTAACTTTTTCCATAAATGTCAACTTCTTGCAGATGTTCACATGTACCTTCCTACAAAGTTATTTCAGCCTTCTCGCCCTTCATTCAATTTACTTGACTCACCTCAGTCTCCACAGGATAACCAGGTAACTGCATATATTTCTGTCAGATTTTTGTAAAAATCTGGCATCTTTTTTTTCTTTTTTATTGATTCTTTAGGAATTTTACATCATGCATCCCAATCCCACTCATTTCCCAGTTCTTCCATATCTGCCCTCCACCCTTGTAACCTCCCCCACAAAAGAAAAAGGGAAAAGAAGCAAAAAAATACAAAGCAAAACCTCTGGCCAAGCCCTTTGGGAAACCACCTGTTCCTCTATCAGTTGCAGCCTTCTCTCACACCAGTCACAGCTGTGGCATCTCCACTCTACAGTCCACGCACCACCTCGCTCCACTGTGTCTTTCCTACCTCTCCACATGTCTTCATCATAGTGGCATTGGAAGCTGTGTTGTGTCACATAGTACACCCTTTTGCCCAAATAGCTTTACTTGCAAATGTGCATGCAATGAGTCATTGGTCAAGTTCAAGGCCTCTGGCTTCTGGTATATCATCAATACTGGACCCTCACCAAGACTTCTTGTAGTATGAGGGGCCGGCTTGTTGGGGTATCTGTCCCACCCGGTACCCCAAAGCCGGCAACTCCCAAGGAAAATCACACACAGGACTCCATAAGATTATAAACTGATTGGCCCATTGGGTCAGGCTTCTTATTAGTCCTTGTAACTTATATTAATCCATTATCATTATCTATGTTAGCCATAATGGCTCAGTACCTTTTCCAGCGGGGGCAGCTTACATGTTGCTTCTTCAGTGATCTGTGCAGGAGTGACAGAGGAACCTCCCTGCTTCCCAGAATTTTCCTGTTCTCATTGCTCCATCCCTACTTTCTGTCTGGCTTTCCCGCCTATACTGCCTGCCTGGTCAATCAGCGTTTTATTAAAATATGATTGCCTCTAGCAAACAGAGTAGACCCGAGAAATTGCTGCTACCAAGAAACCATGTATAATGTTGTTATTTTGTTTTAGAATTATTTCCCAAGCTGTCTCAGGCTTTATGTGGATACAGCTGTCCACACGTTGGCGTCATTTGTAACATGACGGGGCCAGCTTGTTGGGGTATCTGTCCCGCCCGGTACCCCTCAGCCGGCATGCACCAAAGAGAAATCATACACAGGACTCCATAAGGTTATAAACTGATTGGCCCATTTGGTCAGGCTACTTATTAGTTCTTATGACTTATCTTAACCCATTATTCTGATCTATGTTAGCCATAATGGCTCAGTACCTTTTCCAGTGGGGGCAGCTTACATGTTGCTTCTTCAGTGATCTGTGCAGGAGTGACAGAGGAACCTCCCTGCTTCCCAGAATTTTCCTGTTCTCATTGCTTCATCCCTACTTTCTGTCTGGCTTTCCCGCCTATACTGCCTGCCTGGCCAATCAGCGTTTTATTAAAATATGATTGACAGATATAGACAATTTTCCCACACCAACTTCTCTCAGATATCCTGCTGTTGCCCAGAGTTGTGGAGATTCTATGGCTTTGGTTCTGCAGACCAGTCCCTTCACATACTCCAGCAGCTCATAGATGTGGTAGATGTTGGGGTGGGCCAACTCAAGGTCCTGGATCTGGGCCTGGGTGATAGTTCTCCTGTGCCCATGCATTTGGGGCAATCTCTCTTACACCACCCCAGTGAAGGGCAGGACAGCTCAGCACAGTACTTGGGCATCAACATGGCTTCACGCCGAAGCCCAGACCAAAGATATCTGCATGGCCTTTGGTGGTAACCTACGCAACAGACATTAAGCAGACACTGCCAAGGTAGGACCACAGACCCAGACATGGCCCCCAGGCAGCATTACGGCCCTTGACCATCAAAATGGCTTCAGGCAGCAGTCCAAGGCACAGATATCCGCATGGTCCTTGATGGTAACAGGTCACAGGCATTAACACAGAACCCAGCTGCAGTAGGACCATGGACCCAGAGGTCTGGATATCACCATGGCCTCAGGTAGAAGCACAGACCAATCAGATCAATTTGACACCTTCCCACCACACACACCCAGAGACATCAGTATGGCCCCAGGCACCAGCCCAAATCACAGACATCCAAATGGTCCTCAGTGGTAATACAAGGTCACAGATATCAGCATAGACCCCAGTTACTGTACGCCCACAGACTCAGACATGGCCCTCAGTGGCAACCAGGCCTGGGCATCACCATGGCCTCGGGTGGTTGTACAGGTTCCTATCAGCCTGTTCCTCACCACTGTCCTGTCTCCACCTCTCTCCACAGCACAGAAACCACTCCGCTTCTCTTCCATCGCTCCATCATGTACTCTAGCTCTCTCATATCCCCATCACATATTTGTTCATTGTAGCTGCAGGGCCCAGATGGGCAGGCACTTGTGTGTTTTCTAACCTGACCCAGGGCCTTGGGGCCAGGACAGGTGTTTCAAACTCTGCCATCATTAAGGAAAGTAAGAAAACTAGCCACTATGGTTTCTGATGTGTCTTAGTTTTCTGCAACAAAACATCATGACCAAAAAGCAAGTTGGGGAGAAAAGGGTTTATTCAGCTTACACTTCCACATTGCTGTTCATCATTGAAGGAAGTCAGGACAGGAACTCAAACAGGACAGGATCCTGGAGGCAGAAGCTGATGCAGAGGCCATGGAGGAGGCTGCTTACTGCCTTGCTCAGCCTGCTTTCTTATGGAACCCAGGACCGCCAGCCTGAGGATGACCCCACCCACATGGGATGGGCCCTCCCACATCGGTCAGCAATTGAGAAAAAGGCCTACAGCTGGATCTTGTGGAGGTATTACCTCAACTGAGGCTTCTTCCTCTCTGATGACTCTCATTTGTGTCAAGTTGACACAGAACCAGCCAGTACATGGTATTAAACAAAACACTATCAAATAAAGATATTTGTCTTTTTAAGTTTATTCTTAATGTAGAAAACTACTTTTCTCTATCTTAGGGCTTGTTGGTTTCGCTGTTTTGGCTTTGCTTTTCATCAGCATTTTGGGGAAAAAACTGTGAGGCAGAGTCTCAGGTAACTTACCATGTAGATGAGGATGGCCTTGAATCCTGATCCTGTTGCCTTAACTTCCCAAATGCTAGGGTTACAGGTGTACACTACCACATCGGACCAGCATTTAGAAAATACTTGTGGGAAAGGTTTAGAGGTGGAAAGATAATTTATTCTAGGTCATCATCTAGTTAAGCACTGTTAACTTCGTCCCTTTTATCATTTCTTATTCCAAAGGTTCCTTCTGTTCGTGTAGAGGTACATCTTCCAAGAGACGAATCTGGGGAAGTGGACTTCCAGTCGCTGGTTTCACAGTTGAAAGAGACTTCAAGCTTACAAGAGCAAGCTGATATACTCTGCATGCTGTATTCAATGAAGTAAGTGATGGCTATTATTGGTATACATTAATGCACATATTGTGAGGAAGTATAGCATGTTAGTCAGCTTTCTCTAATAACAATTACCTGCGACAGTTTATTAAATGAAAAGGTTTACTTTAGAGCTCAAAATGTTCCTTATTTTAATATGCTTTGTAATTATTTATTTTATGTGTATGAGTGTTTTGCTTGCATTTATTGCTGTGCACTCCAAAGCTTGAAGAAAGTGTTAGATCCCTTGGAACTGGTGTTCCAGATGGTTGTGAGCCACCATGTTGGTGCTAGGAATTGAACCCTGGTCCTCTGGAAGAGCAGCCAAATGCTTGTTACTGCTGAGCAAACTCTGTAGCCGCTAATATTAGTATTTAATAGAAAAGTATATTGATATATAACAGTATTCATTTTACTGTTTTTTCTGCTTCAAACTCATTTTAACATAGTTCAAAAATTATTTTGTTGTTGGTAAGAGAGAATACAATAAAGGATGTAAGTCTATATTTTCCTCTAATGAAAGATCATGTTTCTACTCATGTTTAGTAGAGTTTGTACTATGTTAGACACCTAGTTATCCTTAATTATTATTCAAGGGTAAAAGGTATAAAAAGCCTTTAAATAATAACCTGAATTACCTTTAACTAATAACTTGAATTTGATTATTTTAACTATGTAAAGTTGCTCTTTTTCATATGGAAAAAGAGAAAAAAACAGATTTTATTTTGGCTTATAGTTTTGGAGATTTCATTCTGTTATTGGTTGGCCCTGTTGCTTTATGGTCTGTGATGAGGTACCAGATCATGGCAGCAGCATGGGGCGAAACCATTCACCTCATAACTGGGTTACAGGAGAGAGGGAGAGAAAGTAATAGAACAGTGTCCTAGTATCTCCTACAAGGGCACACCTCAGTAACCTAATCTAGGCTCTGCTTTATAAAGGTTTCAACCATCTCCCTGCAATTCCATAGGTAGAGGACCAAGAGTTTAACATTTGAGGACTATCCAAGATCTAGACTGTAGCACACAGTAAATGGAGCACAGCATTTGAGTATCATGTACCTGTTTAGTACAGTTTACCAATATACTCATGGTGTGACTTCAAAGCCTACATTGTGTACATTCACAAAATTAGTATTGTTTCTACCTCATAAAGATTATTATAAATACCTGGAAATTCAGGACTAAAGAAGTAGTTCATTGATTAAGAGGATTAGCTCATCTTCCAGAGAACCTAGGTTTGATTCTCAGCACACACATAAATAATGATTCACAAACAACCATCTGTAAGCATGCTCCCATGGAATCTAGCCCTCTCTTCTGGTCTCTGTGGACATCAGGCACATATATGCCACACAGATACACATGCAGGCAAAATAACCGTACATATAAAATAAAGAATAAAATTGTGTGTGTGTGTGCGTGTGTGTGTGTGTGTGTGTGTGTGTGTGTGTGTGTGTGTAAGTGTAAAATTCATAATGCAATGCCAGGCCATAGTAGGGAATCAATAACAGATAAATATTATTATCAGTATTGTGGTTCTTATGAAAGCCTATTGGTATATTGTGTGTGTGTGTGTGTGTTGTGTGTACATGTCTGTGTATACATGCATGCTTGTGTGTGAAGTATATTTGTAGAGATACATATGCATATGTATGTGTAGGTCAGAAGTCAGCCTTACATGTCAGTCTCCAGGCACTATGTGTCTTGCTTTTTGAGACAGGGTCTCATTGACCTGGGCCTTGCCAGTTAGCCTATGCTGGCTATGTCTGCTTCCCCTGCACTGGGATTACAAGAGTGTGCCACTACACCTGGCTATTTTAATGTTGGTTCTGAGAATCAAACACAGGGTCTCATGCTTGCATAGGAAGCACTTTACCAACTGTTCTGTCTCCCCAGTCCTATATTCCTAACTCTCAAAAGAAAGTGGGCATGATTGTCAAAGACCAGCCTTGACTAAATTCATATGTTCCAAGGTAGGAGCATAAGGATTAGAATTACTAAGCAAAAGGAACAGAGATATGAGAGAAAGAAGAGTAAGAAACACAGAACAGCATCGGGAGGGAAATTCAGTAAATACTGAATCCTGGATGTGCCCATGCTTATTTTCCATACACTTTTATACCCCAATACAGAAGGAAGGAGAAGGAAAAAGACTGCTTTAACGTGACACAAAGGACAACCAGAACAGTTACTTGTTTCAATACTTGAGACATCAAGCCATTATTTCCTGAGTAAAGCATTTGATGTTTTGGGTAGGATATGCAGCAAATATACCCTAGACCAAGTATCCTGTTGGCAGCCACTCCCTATGTCAAACCTCCTATTTTAAATGAAGGAGCTGGAGTAGGATAGAATTCTCTGACCTTTGGTCAGTGTGAAGTGGATCCACCTCTATGGGCCATCTTAATGTCCAAAACACTAAGTAACGACACCCTAGGTCTAAGTTTTTTGTTTGTAGCCACATGTGTTGTCAACAACTTTGAAAGAGTGAAAATAAGCTGGTAAACTCTCTGACCTTTAGTTAAGGTGGAACAGGCTCACATTTGTGGGCCCTCATACATGGTAACTAATGCTTGTAAATGCAGCACTCAGGAGGCTGAGTCAGCATGATGATTTCCATGTATTCAAAGCCAGCTGGAGTTTCATAGTGAGTTCTGATGCCACCAGAGTCTAAACTTGGGGAACCAATTGGTTTTATTGGAATTATTTATAGAAGCATGGGTGAGGAGTCACTTACAGGAGCAGACATTACTCAAAGACAGCTGCTTCACCAGTAGCCATCCCCACTTTGGTGGCAGTTCACAAAAGCTGGAAACCGGGAACATACTGCATACTCTGCAGGCAGCTCAGCAGGTTGAAGTCTCCCCTCCAAGTAATCAGTTGGTCTAAACCTCTTCCGGGCAGCTTTGCTGGTGTTGTAGGAGACCGCTAGTTTGTTCCTGGCTGCTCGGCCCTGAAATAATCACACAGAAACCATATTATTTGCAATACTGTTTGGTCAATAACTTAAGCGTATTTCTGACTAACTCATATCTTAAATTAACCCATCTCCATTAATCTGTGTATTGCTACAAGGCTGTGACTTACCGTGTCTGTATCCAGCGGGGCTACATGGCTTCTCTCAACTCTGCCTTTCTTCTCCCAGCATTCAGTATAGTTTTTCCCCGCCTACCTCTATTCTGTCCTATCACAGGCCCAAGACAGTCTCTTTATTAACCAATGGTATTCACAGCATAAGAGGGGAATCCCACATCATTCTGGTTTCTACTTCTTCTAGGCAGTCTGGGTCTTAGAGTTTTCTTTGAAGCTTGGCTTCTGTGAGATTCTTTGCAGTTTTGCTTGTCTGAGATTCTTTTTGTCAGTTTGATAGCCTGAGAGTGATACGGCAATATTTATTGCTTACTCTGGGAGTGAGGTGCCTAAAGAATCTGGTCAGTTTCAGGGACTTCCTGAAGCTTGTTTGAATTGTTTACCTTCTGACTTAAGGTGTTTCCCATTGGGTTGGAATGTTTCAATCTGGTGGGAAACTGCTACACAGCAGCTAACCTGGGTTCCAGAGTGAGACCCCCATGGAATCACTAAAAAAAAAACCATAGAGTCTTATCAGAAAAAGGAACAATATTTTTGAGTGTTTGCTTATGTGTAAGTTACCCTGATAGGTATTTGCTGTCTTCTACTCAGCATGTGAAAATGAACTCATATAATGTCCTGCCCATCCAACCTACATAAAATAAGCAGTACTTTTTATGTTGTGGTGACCAGGAAGAATTAGGATGGACCCTCTCTTCTAAACGTGCCTTGAATGCCAGGGTTCCTGATGTCGTGCACACATACAAAGAGAGTATGGACTAATGGGACACTTTCTGGGAGAGCAAATGAGGCCCCTAAATTTCTTCTGAAAAACTTAATAGAGTAAGGAGAGTAGACCTGAGGTTTGGGTATGGTTGGGGGTGAGGCTTGGGTTACATTCTCACTAGCACCAAAGGAGGGATCCCTTGAAATTTCTTGATAAGAAGTGGATGCATTTGCCCTGTTTTTCTGCTAAGTTCAGTACATGATTTGTACACCTTTTCCACTCATATATCTGGTGTGGGCTCTTAGAGAAGCCGACAATGTGAGAATGTCTGTGAACACAGACATCAAATCCTAAGATAAAAAAAGGTTCTTTTCAACAAAAGATTTAGGAAATGGGCAGCTAAACAAGACAGACAACTTTTAAAGATAATAGTCAATCTATTCCTGCCACACACCATACAAAAAAAATTTTTTTGAGGGCCTGCCCCTGTCAACAAGGACTGAGTAAGTCCTTACAGCATTCTTACCCAGTTTAAATAAAACAGATACTGTTTCACCTTTCCACTGCCATTGTGTCGGTGAAGGACAAGGAGGCATCTGGGACTTGCCTGTCAGTGGAATTGAGTCCCCTTATGGTGGAGCCCATATGGAAAACATGAACATCCATCCCCACCTGGCGATGGGGCCTCCTTCTTCAAAAATGCTCTCAAAGCAGACTAGTCAAAAGTTTGATCACTGAGTATTAATCCTAGGTCAGCTTTGTCCACATCGGGGATGATACCAAAGTGACCCTTTCCCACTCTAGGGCGGAAAGCCTAGTGAGGAGCTTCACTCTCGTTCAGCAGCAAGGGGACACTCCTGCTGTCTATCGAGGAAGGCCGAATGGGGAAGCCACACTTCATCCCCAGAAAGTGGTAACAAGGCAGCATCTCCTTCCCCCTAGCAGTACATTATCAGAAAAAGCCTGCTGGGATGGATTTATTAAGTTCCACTTTATTGTACCATATTACAATTGTTTAGGATACCAGTGATTGTGATACCAATTTATTGTTATACCAAGAACCAGGAAGTTCTCAACTTGAATGGGCAAAAGGAATTAATAGTCAGCAGAGATAAGGTATATGCTGAGATTAAACAAAAAATCTCATAGAAGAACAATCAAAATGCTTCACAAGTAACTATGAATACCCCAGAAACAAATAAAAACTAAAT